CTTAAGAGGACGGATCACGTTTTTTCAGGGCCGCGACAATCTCCACATGTCACCCCTATCTCTTTATAATTTTCGAATTGATACATTAGTGATCGCATCATTTTCATGAATTCTGAAAATTCATAAAAGAGATGGGTAGGACATGTTGCGACATTATCCAACTAAACAAAACGTGATCCGTCTCTTCAATGCTGGTCAACCACAGACCTGTATTTCGAGCTATTTTTCCAAAAAATCCTTATGGGGAAAATTGCATTGCATTTTATGTCGAAGGCAACCGCGGAAGAAGCTTTATTAGAAATTTAAAGTTTCAAAGCTGCATATATAAACGTTAGCCCGCCTAGTAAGAAAATGTAAATGCTTGGAAAGAAGCCTTTTTGCACCTTGAAAATTATCTCCTGTCTTTAAATGCTTCCTTTCAAAAACTCATAACTGCCGAGTAGAAATTGTCGGTGCCAACCTATAGACGCTATCTCCTTCTTGTCCTAGATGATTATCCATCACCCCACACAGAGCTTGTAAGCTACACTTATTAAAATCACTGCGGAGGTCTGGGATAATTGGTGGTTACCCTACAAGGTAGGGTTTTAAAAGGCAGCCACATGTGTGAGATTGTGTCCTTCGCTCGAAGTTCGGGTTTCGATGAATTTGTATCTTAATAGTTGTGTCATCTAAATTGGAAACAGTCGCAGAAGCCGGAAGAAAAGCTGAAGGTGCCTCAGATCCTTCACCTACATATCTCTTCAGGTAGCGGGCAACTGCAGTCTGCGGGTGGGAGTCATCTCAATCTGGAACTGAAGGAGCTCCTTCACTGCTTTTCCAGTTTTTTGGTGTTTCTGCGGTGTATAACACATTCAGGGCATCTTGTGCAACACACTTGCCTAAGTGCACCACAATTGGGACGCCAACACTTGGATTACATACATTGGTGCCTGTATGAGAGCCTTGCTGTCCATCTGTGAAAGCAGCTGGATCAGATTGTCCTTGGTAGCGACCTTGCTGCACCATGTGCTTCAAGGGCCCCATCAAAAACATTTGCCATCGGGTGTCAACAGAGGTTGAAGTCTTCCAAAAGCCATTAACAAGGACCTCTCTCTCCTGTCAGACACGTTTACTGCCAAAAAGCTGGTGTCCTTTTAAGCTACTTGGTGATGTGGCGTTACAGTGGGGCCTCTTCAAGGAATGGTCTGCCATTTCACTGGCGAAATTAGCGAGCAATCCTCCACCCTACTACTAACGATTCTGGCAATTGCCTGCCACTCTTCAGACTGATAATCATGCCTAATAAAAGGGAAACTTTTACATCCCTCCCAAGGTGCATCTTTCATAAAAGGTTCTTGCTTCCAAAATTCAGTTAGGCCAGTCCCGGGCACACCACTTCCCCTCTCCTTTTTTTCAAGTTTACCATTGGGTAGACGCATTTTATAAACACCTCAGCTGTTTAAAATGCTCTGGGGTTTGGGCTGGAAGGCTTTGATAAGGTCAGTGAGCAAATGCCCCCTCCTGCATAATCAGTGTGAACAGGGAGCCAGGTTCATCCATTTATCTGGTCATTCCATGGCTCTGTAACAAGACCAGTTGCGGCTTCGCCAAATCCATGTGGTTGGCTGCGTTCATTCCACGAGCAGGTTGCGGGGTCGACCCAATCCATGTGGTGCGTGGCTGGTTCATTCCACCGGAGCAGGGTTGCCGGGCGCCAATCCATGTGCGTGGCTGGTCATTCCACGGAGCCAGCGTTGCGGGCGCCAATCCATGTGGTGGCTGCGTCATTCCACGAGCCAGTATTGCGGGGTCGGCCCATCCTTGTGGTTGCGCTTTGTTTTAGGTCCGTGCGTCATTCCCGGAAGCAGGTTGCGGGGTCGCCCAATCCATTGTGGGTGGCTGGTCATTTCCACTAGCAGGTGCGGGTCGCCCAAATCCATGGTTGGTGGGGCTTCCGGGGTCATTCCACGGTAGTGTGTCATCTAACTGCCACACCATCATTTGGGCCATAGGGCCCCCAATAAATAATCTCAAGATCGCCATCTCTTGTATGAACCATGTCACGATCCCCTGGTACATCAGGTTGAATAATGCTGGCTCCACTTCCAGTAAAGATCTACAACTGGGGTTGGAGGTTAACTGCATCTCTGCCTCCTCTTCATCTGAGGGACAGGCTCCACTTTCCTATATTTTGTACGGAAGGGTACAATCTAAGGATTTTACGTTCCTGGCTTTCTTCATACAAGTTATCCACAGTGCTAGAACTGGCTGACCTGTACCTGAGCATAAATTCAATTTCAGGTTGAATAATATGGGAGCTTTCTCTTGTCCCTTTTTGAAAAACCATCTGGGAAAACAAGTTTTCAGCATTTCTTTGATTTTCCACTAATGTTTTGTCCTTGCTGATGGATCAAGGTGGTTTGCGTTCCTCCACCAGTTGATTGCCGTTCACTTGGTTTGTACCGTTTCTGCTTTCCATCGCAATCCATCCATCCAAGGTTCAACCCGTCTCTCTTGCTTTTCTTAGCACTTGTATTTCCTGCCCATGGCTTTCTTTTTGCAGGTACTGTGCCTCACCAGAGGACCAAATCTTCTGTCGCAGCCTTTGAGCATTTTGTGTCTTTTCCGCTCTTTGGTTCAAGCCGATGAAGTTTGTTATATGCCAGGCAGAAGGCAACAGTAGCTATTCTATCTCCAGCTTTAGGGGATGTACTTTGCCAGGTCAGCATCCGTCATTACAGGGTATTTACTGATGCATCAATCTGGAGAAAAAAACCCAAAAACAATCGTTGGAGCATGAATTATAATTAATATTAATGTGCCGAAATAAATAATAGAATTATTGAATGACTTGACTCTTAAAACCATTGAGCTACATTATGTTCAAATCAGCTTTCAATTGGGAATACTCTCCTAAAATGTTCAACACTCTACCAATTTTATTTGTATTGCCCAAATTTTCCAACCATCTGTTATTCATCCCTGCTAAAATAATTTCATTAAAAAAGAAAATCCAATTTCGATTTTGTAAGCAAACACTAACCCTCACTGTGCCAAAATGTGTGCTTTCTGGATTCAACAAAAAAATCATTGATTGTCAGTTCTTTGACTTGTTCTTCATCTTCAGGAAAGGTCATTACGCAATTCACACTTTACATTCGTACATATGTAAAGCTGGCTCTTACCTTTTCATTTTTCCAGCTTTTGGATAAATTCCTCAGAAATGTTCCGCTTAATTAACAAACCCCTCAGCTCAGCATCCATTGTTTCAACTGTCTGCTCTGGAAAGAGGAATTAAACCAAAGTATAAATTGGCAAACATTCACCAACGTTTACGATTGCAAAGAACTGTGGATTTGTAAAAGTATGTTATGGTGACATTGTAAATCCATTGAAAACACTTGATGTAATGATAGGATGTTTATGCATAGTTACAATGCATATATGTTACCACTAGGTTGCATTAACATATATCGACATATAGAAGTGAGTAGAATCAAGATGTAACTTGGTACTGCTTGTTGGCTAATAAAGTGCTAGTGAAGCTAGTCCTAAAAGATTCAAGGACGTGTGTTATTTATAACAAATAAGAACATTACCACTTGATGCACAATCAAAAGTGTTTTATCACTACATCCCGAACATGGTTGAAAAACTAGTGTCTGACACCATTATATCCTAGCTGCTAGTGCTACCGGTATTAGCTTGTAAACTTAGCAAGTTGGCTATGTCGGTCGCTGTGCCTTAATAATAGCGCAGCACAAACTAACAGGTAGGATGGCCAAATTACATCAGTTAGCTGCAATTCAATGTTTACATATCATAATAATCAACTTAACTTACCTATCAAGCAGAAGGAACTTCTCTTCATGCTTCGGGGAGAAAGGCTGGTCTGTATTGTGCTGTAGGCTACATTATATACCTAACTATCTCGGCGCATGAGTTATTAAAGCGTGCCACGAGTTATTAAGCGTGCACGACGAGTTAAATAAACGTGGCCTCGTTTTATTTATTTTTCTCTCTATGAACCCTCCAGGGCTCCGTACTATTCGACTGCAGGCATGGCACTTCAGAAATGGCATACCCATAAGGAGGCTCCATGCCGCAGTTTTTGTGTGGTTGCTGTCTTTAATTGAAAGCCCTGGTGGCCGATCTGCTCATCCGTCATACTGCATCATACAGTCAATAACTTTCGTTGTTATAGCATCTGCGTTAAAGTATGCTAACGAATATAAGAAACTTTTTCTACAACCAGGTAAAGGCACATCTTATATAATCATTATAGTATAAAAAAACAACAGAATAAAGGAAAAAAACTGGTGCACCAGATTGATGCTTTTAACTTCAACATTAAAAAATATATTCCCGGGGAGCATGCCCCCCGGACCCCCTTTAGAGGAGGTTTAGGGCCCTTGAATATTGCTGAATAACACGTTTTATTTATACATGGGATAACTACAATAGGGCTGCACACAAACGACTAATTTGGATAATCGATTAATCTATCAATTAATGAAACGATATAATCGACTATTCTGACTATTACTGTATGCCTTGCACAATTTCTCAAACGCTCTTATTTAGCCATCAACTTTTAAGATTTAGGGCTTGAGGTTTTTTTAGGCATGTGAAACTAACCAATGAAGACATAAAGATGAATAATACTTGATTCAAAAATACATATTAAATGAACTTAACAAATTGTTTACAAAATTAACATTTGCTTTTTATTTAAAATAAATAATAATATTTTCACATCAAAAGAAACCACAATGTTTTAACAAATCGTATTAAATAATCTGATGACAGAACTGTAAACAAATAAACTGAAACTTTAACAAAATAAAGAGATAACTCTGTTACCTCTAATCATTAAACCCATGTTTGTAT